TTAGATTTAGAACTATCTTTACACTGTGATCAAGCACTGCAAGGTTGTTGACCTTAGCTCCAGTATGATGTTTTATACTTTGAAAAAATATATTAAGATCGTGCATCATTATTTCAAACAAGAACTTGTTGCCTTCAAACAACTTGACAAAAGGTTTTTTTAGCACTGATTAACCACCCAGCGTACAAGAACTTAGTGATCTATCTCTATTCCACGTTTCCATCATTTTGTGAGGTTTCAAGAGAATAAACTTGGTCTGGCTAGTATCAACTTTGCCTTTATTATTGGTCATTATTTTCTAAGTGTGACGTACTTATCTTTATGTATCTATATATTCATATTGACATACAATTAATATAAGTCAAGTTTTGCCCTCCATATTCACATTAATATAATATCATCATACAAACCTTTATTTCATTTTGTTCCATAGGATTTTTGCTCTTGATAAACCTATAAATGATAATCCAAAACTTTTACATCCCGATGGGTACCAAATTAAAATTTATTCTGAATGTATGCAAATAATAACAAAATTAGCAATGGTAAAAATATTTTAATATCGCTAGGGACATATGTAGAATATTAGATGTTGAACATAGCAAGCTAAGGCTTTCTAACAGCTAAGGTGTTACCAACATCAATGACAAAGCGGTATTTGACATCAGATTTAGCTACTCGCTCCATAGCAATGTTGACGTAATCGATTGGAATAATCTCAACATCTGCCTTTATGTTGTATTTTGCAGCAAAATCAATCATCTCTTCTGTCTCTTTTATACCTCCGATGTAACTCCCAACTATTTCTTTCCTTCCTGTTTAATTTTTTAGAACTCGTTAATGCATTATTTATATTATCTTGATTCTCACAACAAGTTAGGTATCTTTAATTAGAGTATTTTCTTTTTTCATCAATTCTTAGTTAATCAATCACATTAATTTTTTGTATTAATTAAATATTCTTCTATACTTACCATCATACAAAGAATATGGATATATTTCCAATGGCGTAGCTGGTGTACCTAACAACACAAGTCGTCCACTGAACTTCAATAGACTAAAATACGGTGCGAGGGAATGAGCTGCAGAAACAGTGTCAATAACACCATCCATTGTTTCAGCAGCAAACTGTGATTAAGAAATTTAATATCAGAAGAAAGATATTTGAATTAAAAAGTAAAAACATGTAATTTATTACCTCTAATTGGTCAGTATCGTGGCTAACCAAAAATGCATCAGCACCCAAACGTTCTAAAGCTTCAGTTTTTTTGCTTGGTGATGTACTAATTACCGTGACTTGAGCACCCATTGCTTTAGCAAATTTAACAGCTAAATGACCGAGACCACCAAGGCCTACAATACCTACATGTTTACCAACTTTCCCCAGTCCAAAATATTTTAATGGACTGTACACTGTAATTCCAGCACAAAGTAAAGGAGGAAGAGAATCAAGTGGTACATTGTTAGGAATTCGAAGGATGTAATGTTCATTAACAACTACATGATCAGAAAAACCTCCATAAGTGATTTTGCCATCCAGGTGAATAGAATTGTAGGTGAATATCATTTCGGGACAATAATTTTCAAGGTCATTGACACAATTCTCACAAGAGTGGCATGCACCAACAATACAGCCAACGCCGACTTTATCACCAATTTTGACCTTCTTCACCTTGTTCCCAACTTCTGTCACTTCTCCAACAATTTCGTGTCTGCAAGCAGTGAATCCGTTAAAAGCATCGAACTGTTCTCATGATAACAAGTAGTAGCATGTTTAGAGGCAAGAATTTAAAGTTAGAAGTTGGCATACCAACGGATATATACGCATATGTAACGAAAATATACATATACATAATATATATATCCAACACAAAAGAGATAATTGTGATAGATAAGCTATTCTCATTATGCGAAATACCGGCTAGCGTGACCATCCAAATCTTGTTTAGTTAGATGTTTGATGAGATTGAGATAGTTTTAGTCCTTAACAAACCAAAAGAAAAGATCACAAGGTTATAATTACCCGGGAACCATAGGGTACACAGCAGTTTCCCAGATATTTTTTGTTATGCAAAGATCTCCATCGCAGATTCCACAATACAACACCTTTACCCTCACGTCTTCCTCGCCTGTTCCCCTGCATTGCAATTCAATATGTACACATATCACGCATCACCTACGCGTATACATATATGCGTATGCACAAGTGTATATTTTCGAACAGTGTGAAGAGAAACGAATTGGGAAAAGGGCCAATGGCAGAGTTTGCGAAAGGGTACCTTCTGGAGAAGTTGAAGGGAGAGAGATGACCGGAAGAGTCTCTCGCTGCCCAGCCATATGCCTTAATAGGGTACTCTGTTTCTGGTGAGCGCTCTGCCATTTTCTTTTTCTTGAACTAGAAAAACAAGAGAGCCAAGTATGAGCGCTGTACCTCCCTCGGAAATATATACATATCTATGTCTTTGGGTTCATATATATAGAATTTATTATTATTAAAAGTGTAAATAGATTGAATTTATTATTATTATTATTATTACTGCTATTATTATTAATACATATTCACGTGGGCTGGTCCACCATGCATGGTACAACTATATATATATATATTCATCATTATTTTATACGATTAATTCCTGATCATTAATCACCAAATCGTAACCGAGCTCATATTTTATTCGTTATGGTTGTGGAAGCCTGCAGCTTCCTAGCTGTTTCAATAAATTTGCTTTGCAGTTAGTTTATTTCTATTTTATTTTTATTTAATTACTGAATTTAATAATTAGAGTAAACTGCTCGTATTTTATTATTAAATTCAATAATTAATTAATATGCAGATAAGACGTGCTTATTTTTTTATTGATTATGATTATGAAAGTCTGTAATGTGATAATTTAATTCTATATTTTTTTTTAAAAAAAAATCATTTTTAAATGCAATATGATATATATTATTTTATTTTATTCAAAATAAATTTTAAATTTCTATTTTAAACTTTGCCACAGTCATCTAATATTGATATCATTACATAAAATCAAAAGATGTAGACGCAGATGCGCATGGCTAAGTGGCTAGAGCTTCAACTGATCTGGATGTGTTGAAATATTATTTCTCTCCCTCTCTCCCGATGTGTATCATGTATATATATTTGTATGTGTGCGATGCACCCTTGTTACCTAGAAGGCCTCATTTTGTTCTTTCGCCCTTACGTACTTATGCATACATATAGAGTCAAGTAAATCCCCTCTTTGAATCAAAATAAATAAAGCAAAATGGGATTGTCACCGGAAGAAGAACATCCTGTTAAGGCCTTTGGCTGGGCAGCAAGAGACTCTTCTGGTCATCTCTCTCCTTTCAACTTCTCAAGAAGGTGATCCTACTCCCCCCCATCTCATAATTCTTACTTTCCTTTTCTTTCTGTTTAGGTGTATTAACCTTTTCTTCTTTGATAATGTAGTCTTAGAGGAACACGTTATCAACCATTTGATCTTGGGCTTTTTAGTTTAGTTCTCGACGAGAAAAAATCTATAATTGTATAAAATATGTACAGTTGATTGATTACATAAGTTTTTGTGAGCAGGGAAAGTGGTGAGGAGGATGTGAGGCGAAAAAATCTATAGTTATGTCGTTCGATTTCCTGATAATATATTACTTCATACTGCTCCACCTTTACTATGTGCTGGAATTACAGTATACAGTCCATTGAAATACTTCAGACTTGCAGAATCAGAAAAGCATGTTGGTATTGTAGGCCTCGGTGGCTTAGGTCATTTAGCTGTTAAATTTGCCAAAGTAATGGGGGCCAAAGTTACTGTCATCAGTAGCTCACTTAGTAAGAAAATTGATGCCTTGGAACGTTTAGGTGCTGATTCTTTTTTGCATAGTAGTGACCACGACGAAATGCAGGTATATATATATATATATATCTAGTTATATATGTTAATTATTGATGAAAAATTTTATTTAAATCACTGATCTATGGATATAAATGTTGGACGCGCAGGCTACGATGTTAGATATGTGGTTGACGTTTCTGTTTCTCATCCTATCACACCATTAATTGACCTACTCAAGTCTCATGGACAACTTGTCTTAGTGGGTCCAGACAACTCACTAGAATTACCAACCTTACCTTTGACGAAAGGTAAATGCATATATATATACATATGAAAAATATTGCATGCAGATAAAATGCTTATTAAAAAAGCTATTTTAATCTAGAACTGGTAATTAAAAAGAATTAATCATTAAGAACATACTTAAACTAATTACTTATTTTCGGACAAATGATACCAAATTAACTCCAATATATTCCATACATATTATCAATAAATGTTCAAAACTAATATTCATACACTCGCTGAATGCATGTGACAAAACAGGAAGAAAAACTGTAGCTGGTAGTGCATACGGAGCAACATATGAGATTCAAGAAATGATTGATTTTGCAGCAAAACACAATATAAATGCAGATGTTGAGGTTATTTCAGTAGATTATCTTAACCAGGCTACAGAACGACTCGCTAAAGCTGATGTTAGATATCGATTTGTGGTTGACGTTGGCAATACCTTGTCTTCTATAAATTCCACATTTAACTAAGGATCCTAGCATGTTCCTTAGTTTCTGTAATTCTTTGGAAACTTTTTCAAAGCTTTTCGCTTTATTGTTATGCATCCTAAAACTGATATTAAATATCGATTTGTGATTGACGTTGGCAATACCTTGCCTTCTACAAATTCCACATTTAACTAAGGATCTTAGCATGTTCCTTAGTTTTTGTAACTCTTTGGAAACTTTTTCAAAATTTTTCGCTCTATTGTTATGCATCCTAAAACTGATGTTAAATATCGATTTGTGGTTGACGTTGGCAATACCTTGGCTTCTACAAATTCCACATTTAACTAAGGATTTTAGCATGTTCCTTAGTTTCTGTAACTCTTTGGAAACTTTTTCAAAATCTTTCCCTCTATTGTTATGCATCCTAAAGTTAATGTTAAATATCGATTTGTGGTTGACGTTGGTAATACTTTGCCTTCTACAAATTTCATAGTTAACTAAGGATCTTGGCATATTCCTTCTTTCTTAGAACTTTTTGAAAATTTTTTTAAGTTTCTATTGACAATGTCATGCATCTTTTGTGAACATTTTGAAACTTTTAATTACATGTAATAATAAAAATTAAATTATTTTTATGACATAATTACTTTTAAATTTAAAAATTTTCTAATTTAAAAATAAGAATCGTCGTCACAACGTGCAAATGATACCACTCAGTTAACCTTAATTAAATATATCATACCATTTAAATTTCGAATCATATATAGCCTCTATTTTTCATTTTTTAAAATTTTGTATGGACTACTCGTTTTTATTAAATATTTATTCATCACGGGATGGTCAAAACCATGAAATA